TTTCATTCATTTGTCGGAGCTGAAAAGTTTCGCTGAATCGAAAACATAAAAATGGTAGGAAAAAGGAAAACTTAAGCGAAAGTAATAAACTACAAAACCGAAAATGCACTCGCCACCTAAAGCCAAGAGGAGAGGGTGAAACAGTTTGGGACAGGTCGGTTCAGGAGTTAAGAGGACCAGCAGCTTGGCCATAAAGTGCAAAATGTCGAAAAAATAATGATAGAAAAGGAAAACTTACGTGACCGTAACTGTGTCACCTGGATAACTCAGGGCCCGGCGAAACATTTCCACGGGCCGAGAGCCCAATGAACCTTAAATTGAAGACACACACCGCTCCAGCGACTCGGCAATTTATTAAATCGATAAAAACGGAAAACAAAAAGTATAAAAAAATGCCAGCGAATATAGATTGATGGAGATCAGGAATTTGTTGAGTAAACACTTTAAACTCGACCGGTTCTAGCCAGTGGTAATATAACTTCAAGAACTACAGTGAATACTTTTAGCATTAGCATAAAATTTTGCAGAGAGGTTTACCCAACTTAAGGTGTGATGCCAACACATTTAATTAAAATACTTATTTTATATAAAGGAAATCTAAATATATTTGTATAATAAAATCCATTTCCCTTAAATAATATATTAAATACAGTTAAATAAGTCCTCTTGATTAGATTATGCTGTACTTGAAAATATACTCGGTATAAACAAAGGACGACACTAAACTTGAAGCTCAACGAAATGAAATTTTCGCACTACAACTACCATAAAATGAAATGAACTAGATTTTTTGCAGCATCTTCCGTCGAACACAAGTAGCATTGTTTGGCGAGCAGGAAATGAAAGGGTTTTTCCAGGGTAAGGGTGGTGGGAACTACGACGACAATGCGGCTGCCAGCGGGCCAAGCAAAATGAGTTGAGGATATTGATTTCACCTAGTTTTTGGTTGCCTGAAGGCTGTTTTCAGACTCGGTTTCCTCTTCTCCCCGAGCTTTTAGTTTGCTACTCTTTTTTGTTTATTGAGTTGGTTTTGGGTGTGAAAGTGTGTGCCGTAAAACAAGCAATACAATATTGTGTGAGCATACTTGAAAATGTATTTCAATAGCACAAACTTTATTATCAACAAATTGCTCTACATACTCGAGTGGTTTGTCAACTAAACTTTGTTTGTGGGAAGTGTGACACCGAATTTGTGTGCATATAAAATGTTCGAAGAAAACCATTTTCAAATATTTAAAAATGTTATATTTAAATATTTCTTTTTAAATAAAGGCATTTGTTCAAAACCAAAACGAAGTCGGACAAAATTTAACAATAAATTATCTTTTTGCTAAGTATTACTGTTAACTATTTCCATTTTTAGAATATTTAAATAGAATTATAGAATTTAAGTAAAGGCGTTAAATTAAAATAACTTTAAACAAATTTGGCATAATTTTTGGGCAAAGATAAAAAGATTACATATTTGTTTTATCACTTCGGCTTGCCATTCATGTTTGTTCTAATTTTCGATAAAAAATGATTATAGAATTTTCTAAGAAGAGGGAGGTACTCTAGTCTATTTTGAATAATTTATTTAATTTTTCCTCCCGTTCTCTACTAGCTTATAAATATAATTCTGCTTAATGCCTTAATCCGTTCCCCAGTTGCCATATTTTCTAGAGTGCTGCCTTAACAGTGTCAATCACTTTAGTTCCATTTAAGTCACACACTGACAAAATTTGGTTAAATGTCGCAAGAAAATGTCTGCTATTAGCCGGCAGAAAAGAGAAGGCACACATTTGCCACATGTTGCAAATATGATTAAATTTATGCCAGTCAAAATAACACAAAACTGTCGACACTGCGCCGAAAGACAGCAACTCCCAGCGGCAACTTTCAGGCGAGACTGCCTAAAAAGTTGACATCCAAGTTGTGATTTGCCAGTCGCAAATAAATGGGGCTGACTGAACGACAACCCGAGCTCAGCGTTAGCATGTAAATTAAAACATGTTCAACTTATTAACAAGCCCGACAGTGGGCCTCGAAAGTCGCATTAGTTTTCCGGCAAACACATATTTGTAGTCGCGTTCCTACAAAATATTTACATTTGCCGAAATTATGCGGAGCAAACTTTTTGACAACCACCCAGCAAAAACTATTGTACAAGTTTTTTAAGGCGGGGCAGTTGTGGGTGGGCCCGGCTAAACTTATGTCTGTCTGCGATATGTTGGTACACAGAAAGAATGAAGTGAATAAACACACCCAAAAAAAAATTGGATATGCAACGAAGAATAATTTGATATTTCGTGGTATCAATTTGAATACCAATTTGATAATTTTTTAAAATCTATCTTAACTAAAAACCCATTGTTTAACTACTTTATTTTAAAGTAGTTCTTCGTTTGTTCTCAGTGCATTTGTGTATGTGCTGACTTCTTCTCGGGGGCAGTCATAAAAGTTTAATTCCTTTTTCTCTGGCTGTTGTAAGTAGCATCCCCCGGGGGCTGCAACTTGCAGAAAACGTCGCCATTTTTGTTGAAATGACAACAAAAGTTTTCTGGCCGGGTTTTTGTGCGGGTGGTCGGAAGTTTTGGAGACAAGTTTTAAATGCTGTTTGCATGTTACGTGGCTTTCCCTTCGCCCCTCGTTCTGCGAAGAACCTTTCTGGCCTCAAATTACTGTAATGACTGAAGGGGGGCTTTGAATTTTTGCGGCCTTCATGGAATTTATAGGTTGCTACAGTCCAAAAAGTTCCCTTAGAACTAATTTAGAAATTTTTGTCAATTATGCGGTGTAATTTGCTGAGCTAAACTGCTATGTTCTAAATTGGCAAATTATTGAAATGCTTAAAGAATGTAGATTTTACAAGCAAATTATGTGACCAAAGTATGTGAGATGATATGACATAATAGAAATTAATTAACATTTCTTGTGTTCCATTTCAGTAATATTAAACTTATTTTTCCAAGTTTAAGAGATTGCCATTTTAAAAAGCATTAAAGACTTTCCTCCGTTTAGGAGAAAACTCATTGAATTAGCTCGAAATGTGAGAATTGTGACACTGCTGTGACATCGAGGCGAGAAGATTTTCCATAGATATTGACATTGGTTTCCATTCCGCGACACGTTAACACACAGGGGCTGACTCACAGTGGGTTTTGGCCAGGTTTCAATAGGTATCTATCCATACATGGTGTGGACCCCCTCGATTCTTTGCCCGAGGTCCACACACGTGCCACGAGTCATTCTTTGTTCGCGCTATTTATAAAAGTCACTGACACAGTAACTTGCTTTCCTCCTTTGGCCTTTATATGGTGCTCGTTTCGCCACTTCTTCTAACTCTTGGTAACAGAGCCACCCCCCTACCACCCATATCATCCATACCATCGCTGCCCCAAAACCCCATCGCCTCCTCAACTCTTTTTCCGCTTTGATAAGCAGGTTCTTTTGTTCCAGCCAGGAACTTTCTATGTGGGCAGCAGGCGAGAAACCCGTGCTCATATTGCTTTTGTTATGCTTGTTGTTGTGGCTTTTGTTCGGTGGGTGGCTGGGAGGGGTCGTTCAAAGTGGGTGGTGGGGCGACTCCGCCTGATGTTGACTAGCTCAGATACAAGCGTGTGCTCAGATACATGCGATATGTATCTACCAAAGATGCAGCTGCACAAACTCTGCTTTCCTCCTCGTTTCCTTCTTTTCTAAAGATAAATTTATGTTTGCATTTTGCGAACGATTTCGTGTTCTTCGCTGCAAAGTGAGTATGGTTTTACTTGAAGATGGCCTTAAAGTGATGTCTTACTTTTTGATGCAGTGTACAGTTTTAAAGTCGAGCTCTGACTTTAGTAATAACCACTCAAACCTACAATATGACAGCTTTACAATACATTTATAGTTAAAATGAAAAGTGATTGGAATATAAATAATTTCTAAAAATTGGTTTTGGTATTTATAGAACATAATATATTTGATTTGTATTGATTTGTAAATGCCAACGTATTTTCTGTTTTTAATTATTTATTTGATTAGATCTAAATTATTTATTTCGCCAACAGATTTCGTACCGTTTACTGGCTTTTATTTTCAAAAAGAAAAAGGAATTGAGTTGTTATATTAACACAGTGTGGCAACTGAAACTTGGTTCTGTATTATATTTTTGAATACCTACTTACCTTAAATTGTAGTTTATTGTGTTCGATTTGGCAATCTAAAATATGATAATAACTTACTTTTCCAAATGTTTGACTTAAAGTTATCATGTCTGGATGGCTGAACTTCTCCGCCTTAATCCCCAAATGTGCGCCTTTTAAGGCTCACACCAATCTTAGAATTACTTTACTCACACACGTCAGCAAAAGGGGATAAATTCAGTTCCCTTTTTTTTTCTTCTTAAGGAAAAAGCCTTTCAATACGTAAATATCTTAAGCTCCAAAACGTGTCGGTTCCGATTAGAATCCACTAGACCAGGAGAGCCTTCGATGCCTTTGGGCTTTCGTCACACAAGCCGAACGGGAAAAGAGTTGTTTGCGTCTAATTTGGCTATTTTCGAGGCTTAGACGGTCATTTATCCCTGAATTGAGTCTATATAGAAGGTCTGATTTAATACCTTGTTTACCCGTTTTCTAAGGCAGACTTGATTAATGGTTTCAGCTTTTCGGCTGGTGGTTTAAAGGCGAAGTCCGTGACTCCCTACTTCCGCAATTATTTCCCTCATTGCAGGCTTGAATTATATTTGCAGGACTTCCACCGGAAAGTCAATCAATTTTTGCTTTTCCATTATACAATTTACCTCCGTCGTTTCCTTCAATTGAGCAGCTGTCAATTACCATTTCCTTTTTGTTTCGCTGCACAGTAAAAAAAAATTAACTCCTGAATCTTGTCTAAATAAAGTCTAAATCACAAAGTAAAAGATATAAGCTTTTATCTAGACATGACATAAATAATAATTTCTAAAGTGCAATTTAAAATGACTTAGAAAGTAAACCTTGTTTTAATGCAGATGTTTCTTTCTCTGTATTTTACAGTTGGATCGCGTGACTCCTCGGGCAGTTCCTCTTCTTCTGGCTCCTCATCCTCCTCCTCATCGGGAAGTGGTGGCTCCAGCTCATCCTCCTCGTCGTCCTCATCATCCTCCTCGTCGGCTGGAAGCGGAGGTCCTGCCAAGTATCCTGTGCTGGTCTTTGTGCACGGCGAGTCGTATGAGTGGAACAGCGGCAATCCCTACGACGGATCGGTGTTGGCCAGCTACGGACAAATATTGGTGGTAACCATAAATTATCGCCTCGGAGTGCTGGGTAAGTGCTCCGCACACTCAAATCCTAATGCTAATTGATATGCCGAGTGCATGACCAAAAGGACGAGCGACTGTCGGACGGACGGGCGAGTGAGGTCAGTGCAATGAGGCGGACGTGCGCCAACCAGTCGACCTCCTCGGCCTTTCAGCCAACCTCCATTCCCATCCATCCCAAAAGCTGCAACATCAACTGCACTTCCGCCGTAACAACTGCAGCAGCTACCAGGCGTACATTTATTCCATAATCTAACTAATTTAGCTACAGTCTGGCACAACAGCACAGTGGAGACCGTAGAAGGAATATCGCAATAATATTTTATAATTTTTGAAATAAAACTCAAGATCTTGATTATTTTGTACCAATAAAGTAATGGTACTAAAAAGTAATAGGCATCTTAAATTTTACAATCTCTTTTGCACTGGTTTAGATGAATATAATTATTTTTATGTTTTCTATTAGTTTCAAAGTAAAAAATTAATTTAACCTTAATTTGCCCATTGAAAATTTATAAATTAAAGTAAAAGCATAGATAGTTTCCATATGTTTTTAGCCTTACTATGACCACTGTGCGCTGCCCGAAACTCTGTGTAAATTCAAATGCACAGACGAAATTAGTGTGACCTCATTTGGCGCCTGCCACCATTTCTTTCTGCCTTCTGCCGTTCTACCATTTTTCCTAAACCAGCCGACCCCCTCTGCTGCTGCTGCTGCCGCCGCCTCTGTTGTTGCAGAGGAAACGGAAGTGCTGACATCATGATTTGCACGCGTGACTTTGCACATTTTTGCGCGGCCGAGGGAGAGGCGAAAAAATGAGTGGCGTTTGACATTTTAAATAGGCAAAGCGACCGACTGACTGACTGCACGAGTACGCGGCGAATCGATTAAATTTCCATTCGCGAGCCAATCAGGCGGCAAGGAAAACTGCTGATTAAGTGCGGGCAAACCCGGCAACTCTTTGCAGGCTTTCTGAATGCCAACACGGACCGCTACTCGAAGCTGCCGGCCAATTACGGCCTGATGGACATCATTGCGGCGCTGCACTGGCTCAAGGAGAACATCGCGGCCTTCGGCGGGGATCCCAACAGCATCACCCTCGCAGGACACGGAACGGGGGCGGCCTGCGTCCACTTCCTCATCTCGTCGATGGCCGTGCCGGAGGGTGAGTACGACCCCATTATCCCACTGACAGAAGCAAAAGCATATGAGAGAATCGTGGTTGCCATTGCAGTCCCCTATCTCATATGCCACTCAGAGGATAAAATACAAAACCAACATTAACATTTTGTATTAACAATTTCCATTATTATAAATATTTTATTTAAATACTTATTCAGAGTTCGAGAAATTTTGATTTTCATTTTTATACCCTTGTAGAGGGTATTATAATTTCAGTCAGATGTTTGCAACGCAGTGAAGGAGACGTTTCCGACCACATAAAGTATATATATTCTTGATCAGCACCAATAGCCGAGTCTATCTAGCCATGTCCGTCTGTCCGTCTGTCCGTCTGTCCGTCTGTCCGTTTCTATGCGAACTAGTCTCTCAGTTTTAAAGCTATCGCGATGAAACTTTCCCGAAAGTCTTCTTTCTATTGCAGGTAGTACATATGTCGGAGCGAGCCGGATCGGACCACTATATCTTAAGGCTCCCATAGGAAAATTCAAACAAATATAAGAAAATTCATTGTAACTTTGTAGGAAGTAGGCGTTTTGATTCTTGACTACTTAAAAACAAAATTGGAATTCCTGGTACTGCACCGAGTAGGCATTACTTTATCTACAAGGGTATATAAGCTTCGGCTGGCCGAAGGTAGCTTCCTATCTTGTTCTTTTTAAGAAAGCTAATTATTACAATTAAAGTACATTTCTTTTAACTTCCTATTAAGAAATATTTAAAATTAATTTATTGATTCGAATTCAAGTTTAAAAGTAAGAAGATTTTACCTAAAACCTAATCAAAGACATTGCAAAAGCGTTTTGGATTAAAGATAGAAGAGCTTTCCACATTGGAAATTCTACTGTCGTGTGCCTTTAATAATTGTTTCATGTTTACTCTTCTCCTCCAGGCCTGCTCTTTAATAGAGCCATCTTGATGTCGGGCTCTGGCCTGGCGCCCTGGTCACTGGTCAGCAATCCGGCCAAGTACGCGGCCATTGTGGCCCACCACGTGAACTGCGCCTCCGACCTCCCGCACGCCCACCTCATGAAGTGCCTGCGCGAGAAGACCCTGGACCAGCTGCTCAGCGTGCCCATCCGCCCGCCGGAGTTCGGCTTCGCCTTTGGGCCCAGCATCGACGGGGTGGTCATCGACGGCGGGGACTACGTGCCGCCCGCCCCCGGATCACCGGCGGCTCAGGCCCAGGCTCAGGCATCGACGGCCGCCGGGAACGGACTGGGCGGAGAGGCGGGAATCGCGGCTGCCGGCGGCTGGGGGACGCCCGGCCAGCTCGAGAATATCGGTAGGTTTTGAGTTGGCAATTGAGTTACCAGTAATTTTTTTAAACAATTGAGTGCTCGAAAAAGTAGAATTTTTTTTGTTGGGAATCCATGTATTAAATATACCTCATAAAATCGAAACTTCTTTAAACAGCACATCTAGGAATATGTAATAAAGAATTGCATACTTCTAGGATTGTGACATAATTCGCCGCTTAATCTTCTAGTGCGTGTGAAAGAAAGAATGGCTGCTTCCCGATTTAACAGATGCGAACCACAACAACTAAATAATTAATTGGTGATTCGAAAACTTACGCATTTTTGTATCCGGGTGTTTTTATGGGAGTGATAACCCTTTTATAGTTTCTATTGGTATTTTGGTCGACCTGTTAACATAAATTATTATATTTTTGTTAAAAAAAAATATGTTTTTGTATTATTTAAATAATGTAAAATATAGTCATTGTTCAAGGTACAAAATATATTTGACACCTCTTAATTATGTTAAAGGGTGATTAGGTAAAATTAATGAAAATAATGTTAAAGCATCTGTTCGCATTTTTTGTTTACTCGCAAATTACTTTCATTTCCTTTGCATAATTAAAATAAATTATAATGGAATGGTTTTTTCGGTCCTCCATTTTTCTTCTCAACACGACTCCGACGGCTTCTGCGGATGATGATGATCTTGATGATGATGAAAATGATGTTTCCTCACACATATTCCTGCACGAATGAACAAAAACACTCACGCTTTCACGACATGCGGTGGACTTTTTAATTAATGCAGTATTAATGAGAAAAACTGCCATTAACAAGTTGTCAAGGTAAGTTGGGCCAGGCCAGCAAATGCTTAATTATTTTTACCTTAACTCGTACCCTGCCCAAACACATACAACCATCTGTGGGATTACACAAAGAAAAAATAGTACGAAAAGAAATAAAATGTTTACTTAAATAGTACACAAAATAATAATATTGTGTTTAGAAAATACTATTATCAATATACAACTTAAATTAAAACAAGAGAGAACGCTATAGTCGGGTGCCCCGACTATCAGATACCCGTTACTCCGCTAAAGGGAGTGCGAAGGAGGTGGAGATAAAAACTTTGATCCGCCGTAACTTTTTAACGAATGGTCCGATTTAAAAAATTTCTTCTACATTTTGATAGGTATTCATAAACACAATAAAACTGCATTTTTACTTTTCCGAAATAATGAAATTTTTAAAATCGTATATAAGCGATTGTGGGCGTTAGAGGGGGCGTGGCACCCTTTTGAAACAAACTTGCGCTGCGTAGGAACTCCTAGAATCTGCATGCAAAATGTCAATCTTCTAGCTTTTATAGTTTCCGAGATCTCAGCGTTCATACGGACAGATAGACGGACATGGCTATATCGAATCGGCTAGTGACCCTGATAAAGAATATATATACTTTATAGGGTCGGAAATGCTTCCTTCTAGCTGTTACATACTTTTGCACGAATACAATATACCCTTTTACTCTACGAGTAACGGGTATAAAAATATAGCCGCTGAGTAAATTATTTCCAATGTGCATTAAGCTTTTCCCCCAGTGCATAACTTCATGTAACTAGAGTATGGTCTATAATTAATTTAAAGTTCTGGCTTCTTTTGGCAAGCTTGTGCTTGCTTTGTTGGGTGTCAAAGGAGTTTTATCTTGGCTTTTGCCACGGCACAGCCGTTAGTTTAGCCAGCGATAAGATTTGGCCACAAACCTGCTTTGCCCACACTTGCATATAATTAATTTATGCACATTAGGCACGCAAATGCTGGGCTTCATTTTGTTATGCTCAGCTCGCTGCTGCTGGTCATTGTGGCTCCTGTGGATTTCTGTGGATTTCTGGAGTGCCGAGTGGTGTGCGCCACTTGATTTATGCACTTTGTGTTTGAGCCATTTTACAATGTTAATATATATTATTAACAGCTAATTAGCTGCGATTTCATAATTGATGTGCGGCTCTGCTGTTGAGACCCTTAACAGGGTTAGCCTTGGTGATGGAAGAAGAACTTACTTGTGCTGAATAGGTATGGAAAATACCTACTAAAAAGGAAAGAGGTCAATAAAAATCTAAACTTAGTTTTTTAGGTTATATACAATTATTATGTAAGAAGTTTCTAGAAATTTTTTATTAATTTTCAGATTTAACTCGTAAAGCAGGGTAACTATCGATATATAGTTCTTCCCATCACTGGACAGCTGCAATTCAAGTCAAGCACCATGGCGAACTGCAATTGAATAGATAATTAACAGAGAATTGGAATGCCAGCCAATCAAACGCACAGTCAATAGTTAATGAGAACTCTTTTTGAGTTGAAAATTGCAGCACTTTGAGGTCCTGGCTTTGAGCTGCACTCGAGTGCAGCGTTGCATTGTGGGTCTAACATGAATTTATCTCGGTGCGCTTTGTAAACTGTCAATGCCCCGGGGGCTATTAGTCGGTCTCCCAGCCAAAGGAGTATAAATATTTCTTTGTGCACATTTAAAAGCAATTTGCCGAGCACACACGCACTCCGAATATCCAAAGGAATGCCATTAAACGCATGCACAAAGAGCAAATAAAATTTACCAAATATAAAACGCAAAAGTTTCGACCGAGCGATCTCTCTTTTCGTCTATGTCCATCGCACACTGTGCGTAAGCAAATAAGGCAAAAGTAAATTTAAAATTGCAAATGCTGCAAGTAGTTGCGATGGTCAGAGCCTGGCAGATACTTCCCCAGCTGCTTTTGGCCAAGAGTTGCCTCAAAGTTTTATATCTATCAAGAGTGCGGTTAGCTGCAAGGGCTGCTTCAACTTGTTTAACAAATGAATGGATCCAAAGTTTTCGGGCAAAATTATTGTGGCAGAGAGATAAATGTGAATTGATGCTTGAGGAATGCAATTTGTTGGTTGCAAATTTGTAATTACAATGCATAATGTAAACCAGAGTGGGCACTTGAGCAGGGCCCTGTGTTTATTTCTTAATTCGGTTGGGAGAAGGTGGAAAATTGACCCGCTCACTCAGCCTCTCAGGTGGCCTTAACTTATCAGAGGAACCCCATTTTCGGCTAGGGGTTAACAAGGGTAGAATCTGACAACTCCTCCATAAGCAATTTTACACCGATAAAATATTCGACTTTTAAAATCAAAATTTTTGCTCATGTGCAAATTTATTTATATTAGTTAGGTAATATAAATAATACAAACTGATTAATTATAATTTTATTTGATTGCCTAAATTATTTAACAAATGATTTCATTTCAATTAGATATTCCTTGATGAATAATAATTTTGTAATTTGTAATAAGTAATAAGTTTTATAACATTTTTCGTTAAAATAAATGGTGTTACTAAATATATATATGTAATAGGAACGTATTTATGTCTTAAAAAAAAGTTACAAAACCATAATTCATTAGATTAAGTTTCCAAATTCTTTGTATAGTTTTCTGAGCGACTTTAGGACAACTTTTTCCAGTGCACACATTGACTCCCCATTTCTCATTCGCATTTTCGCAGATACGACCTGATGGCCGGCGTGACACGTGCCGAGGCCTTTTTCAGCTTCAATTCGGGCGACGTGCAATATGGAATCGAGGCGGATCGACGGTCGAGAATTTTAAAGGCCTACGTACGCAACACGTACACGTTCCATTTGAACGAGATATTCGCCACGATTGTCAATGAGTATACGGATTGGGAGAGACCCGTGCAGCATCCAATTAATATCCGGTGAGTAATTGCGTTTGTTTGCGAGCCCAAGCCCCTCGAAGCTGAGACTCCAAACGGGTGGAAGGATTGAGGGGTCGAAAGGGGGAAAGGTGGGAAAGGTGTGTGCCAAATAAATATTTCGTTCTTAATTAAATGCGCAATGGCATGCCCCGATCTCTTGCTCCGGTGCTCACTTCCCGAGCAGCTTTCAATTAAAGCGGCTTAAATGAATCTTGATTTCAATCTTATGGCAAATGAAATGCAAATTTTTCGTCCATTCGTGTCGGCCTTCCAGCCTGCCAGTCTTCATAAATAATGTTTGGCTGCAATTTGTCTGCAAACTGGTCGCATAAGTAACATGGAAATTGCTCGCACACAAACCCAATCAAATATATGATTTGCTTTTCATTTTTCGATTTCGATCAATATTTATGTTTGCGACTAGGTCAAAGTGACATCGTAGCCGGCACACAGAATGCATTCATATCATGTACAATATATATTTCGGCTCTGGGTTCGTTTCGGTTTCCTCAAACAATTTATTTGTGTTTGCATAATTTATGCGGAATTACATTTCAATATTTCCAAAGAAATATGGCAAACAAATTGATTTTCCCCAGTGCAACGCGTGGCGTATACTTAATACAGCCTTTCACAGCCTTGTGTCAAGTATTTGCCGGAGTTGTGCGGACGTGCGTTAAGTGGCCTGCAATGGAGCACGGCACACGTTTCACGCTTCAACTCCGCCGAAGACCGCGTTTCCTTGGAGCATTGATCATGGGTGCGGAGGAGGAAAATCAGGTGGGCTGTGGAGTAGGCTCCCTTTCCATTTAAATGTCAGCAATACAATAAATAGGTTTGCCAGCTATTGAAAGTTTTCCTTGCTGAGAGTTTTTATTATGTCTAAAGTTGGAAAAATAAGAAAAGTAAATAAATAATTGAATAACATAACAATAGAACGTTTTCTTCTTTTAATGTCACAAGTTTTGAGACAAGCTAAATAATATAAAAAAATTAAATTTTAAAAATACATAACAAATATAAGTAGTTGACAACAATAACATTTTATCATTTTTTGTATAACTTCGGGATAATATAAATATAAATATATATATATAAATATAAATATAAAATTTATTAAATTTATATAAATATTATAAATCGGTTTAACAAAAAGACTATTTCAAATAGCGTTTAAAGGTAAAGCTCGCCCAATATTAAGCACTACATTTTGCGAGAGGCACACAAAATAATAAAAAGCGAAAGACTGAACCAACGGCTGGTGGTTCCATCTTTGCTGCATTGAAAAGATATGTATGCAAATGCGCCAAATGGGTTTTATTCAAATTTTACGCTGCTGCATTTCGAATGCTAAACAAACTAAAAAAACGTAAAGGGCAGACAGACAAAAATAAGGAAAAGTGCAGCAGAATCAGATGGGTAAAAAAGTGGGGACCAAAAATAGGCTTAGGCCGGCGTTGAGAACCCCACTTGGTAAACAGGTAAATACGAGCCACATCAACGAAAGTGGCAGCACTCAAAGTGGCTTGTTAGTTGCGCACTTGAACACAGCTCGATTGGCGGAGGGCAATAGCAAAATAGCCGGAAAATTGAAAACGAGCTGAAGGGCGCTGGCGGGCAAATATTGAAAAATTGTTATTTGATTTTAATGTTGTGCCTTTTACCCCCATTTTCCATTTTCCGCAGCGACGAGACGCTGGAGGCGCTGAGCGATGCTCAGGTCGTAGCTCCGGCGGCTCAAACGGTGGATTTGCACTCGGCGGATCATCGAAACTCCTACTTGTACGTTTTCGACTACCAGACCCGATTCGGCGATTATCCTCAGGTGAGTTCAAGTTCAGGGTGGGGTTTAAATTAAAAATAAAACATGCCATATATTGAAAAAAATCGATGGCTTTTGGGGAAATTAAAAGATGTCTTTGTACCAGATTTACTGTTGAAACTTACAGTCAAGATATAATTAAATGGTTTTATAAACGGATTTTATGTTGCTGTTTAGCTTTACCAACATTAAAGAACTTCTACTTCTATTACAAATTGAATCCTTAGCTATTTCAAATATCGCAGTTGTGTAGAATAATTTCATGGGCACACCAAAAGTGGAGATGCAAATGCATTAATACTAATGGGTGTAAGGTCAAAGGGCTGACACTCAATTTAATTTCTGGTTTTCTGGCATTTTGCAGCGCCAGGGTTGCATTCACGGCGAGGACCTGCCCTATATCTTCGGTGCCCCACTCGTTGGTGGTTTCAATCACTTCACGCGCAACTACACGAAAACCGAAATCAGTCTGTCGGAAGTTGTGATGTTCTACTGGTCCAACTTTGTGCGAACCGGGTAAGTGCATTCTAAACGCTGCAGGTTTCCATTTTAGACGGGCTCAACTAACTGACCACAAGCACGTGCACTGGGAAAAAACTCTATTTCATTTGAGATAACTAAACCAAACTTAAATTATAATACTTATGATTAAGTTTATATTTTCTTTTTCCTTTTAAAATTATAAAGGGCATAGGGGAACAAGCCTGGGAAAACTGCCCCAGGCGATATTGCAAAATTTTAGATGAGGATTGGTAGATAGGAACCTAATGGATAAGAATTCCAATTTTCAAATATTTTGATCCGCTGGTTTACGAGTAATCTGCCGCAACTAAAGAACATATCTCTTGATGTATCTTCCCTTCGGTGGTTCTTGAGAAAATTTTTTGATGCCAATAATTTTTGTGTTATCCTTCAAGAATGTCAGCCAATCTTTGGATTTTTACCATTCTTATAAGCTAACAAAAATCGCGATTTAAATTTTGAAAAAATTGGTTCAAGACTTTCCCAGTCTAACAACACCGCCAATTTTTTACAGTTTGTGTGTCCTATAACCATCTACTTCATATAAAATATTCATAATTTTCGAGTGGTGCAACAGTGTTAAACAAACAAAAAACTGAAGAATTTATTTCGAGAGGGTAGGAATAGAGTCAATAAAATATATTTGGCTTGTAAATAGTTAGTTCTAAGACCAGAATTATTATCAAAGAGTAAAGTTTTTAATATTATGGGTGAAAAGTGGTCCGAATTATAAAATGTTTGGCATGTATTTGCTTGTAATTGATTTAATAGGGACCCAGTCCCAGTCTAGTCCCCACAGCTTCGAATTTCATATCCTCCCTGGACAGAGATTTCATAAGAAATCTCTTGAGCATGGATGACCAACAAATACTTTAATTATGTGATTCTAAAGAAATCGCGGTCCAAAGAGGATTACTTAATATGCGATTCTTTCGGCACCACCGTTATTTTAAAAAGCAAGATAGTAATTTGAAAGCTTTAATATGCGGAGCATGATAACAAATTGTTAACAAATTCGCGCAATAACAACGGTGCCGAAAGAATCGCATATTAAGTAATCCTCTTTGGACCGCGATTTCTTTAGAATCACATAATTAAAGTATTTGTTGGTCATCCATGCTCAAGAGATTTCTTATGAAATCTCTGTCCAGGAGGATATGAAATTCGAAGCTGTGGGGACTAGACTGGGACTGGGTCCCTATTAAATCAATTACAAGCAAATACATGCCAAACATTTTATAATTCGGACCACTTTTCACCCATAATATTAAAAACTTTACTCTTTGATAATAATTCTGGTCTTAGAACTAACTATTTACAAGCCAAATATATTTTATTGACTCTATTCCTACCCTCCCAGAAATAAATTCTTCAGTTTTTTGTTTGTTTAACACTGTTGCACCACTCGAAAAATTACGAATATTTTATATGAAGTAGATGGTTATAGGACACACAAACTGTAAAAAATTGGCGGTGTTGTCAGACTTGGAAAGTCTTGAACCAATTTTTTGAAAATTTGAATCGCGATTTTTGTTAGCTTATAAGAATGGTAAAAATCCAAAGAATGGCTGACATTCTTGAAGGTTAACACAAAAATTATTGGCATCAAAAAAGTTTTCTCAAGAACCACCGAAGGGAAGATACATCAAGTGATATGTTCTTTAGTTGCGGCAGATTACTCGTAAACCAGCGGATCAAAATATTTGAAAATTGGAATTCTTATCCATTAGGTTCCTATCTACCAATCCTCATCTAAAATTTTGCAATATCGCCTGGGGCAGTTTTCCCAGGCTTGTTCCCCTATGCCCTTTCAAAAGTTATTTTCTATTTAATTTTCTTTTTTCTCCGTGTACGAAATAGAATTCGCATTTATGCAAGCAATATTAAGCACTCTATTTCGCATGCTTGCAGCAATCCAAATGAGCAAATGGAAACGGAGCACGGCAGTCGTCAGGAGCGGAGTCGCTATAAAACCATTGAGTGGACGGCCTACGAAAGTGTTCACAAGAAATACCTCAATTTCGGTTAGTATGGAAATTAGTTCTTAAATTTGCCTTTGAGTTCCATTTGTTAGGGTTAAAGATTAAGGTTATAACCAGGGACCGTAAATAATCATTATTTGAGATTTTTATTTTGAAAAGACTACTGTGATATTTTGTTTTAAACGTCAAAAATAACGTTCTTTTTACTCTTGTCCACAAAGTATATGCGTTTTAACAAATCTGGAAAGCAAATTAACTGTTATTTGTTCATGTCTATAAAGTGCATAAAAACCAGTTAAATTGTTGATTAAAACTTGTAAAAACCTCAGTAGGCCTTTTAAAATAAAAATCTCAAATAATGATTATTTACGGTCCCTGGTTATAACATGCATAATTGGGAATTCCGTTTGTTATTTTCCCTTCCTTAAACCGTTTCTCTTCAGATACCAAGCCAAAGCTGAAGAATCACTACAGAGCACACCGCCTGTCCTTCTGGCTGAACCTAATCCCGGATCTGCATAAGCCAGGTGGCGATAATGTGCCCGCTGCCCACCACCAGCTGCACGATGACGACGACGAGGACAACAATATACCCAGCGATGCCTCCGTGAAGCCCCTTAATCCGCCGTACACTTCACGGGCTGCCAATGCAGCGGCCATGGGGAACTTTACGATTTTCACCAACCAGGTGTTCTCCCTGCTCAATCTCAGTTCGCCGTCCTCGTCGCTGCAGCGGAACGGCACTCGCTACGGGGGCGGTAAGATATATCCGGACGATATGATGGACGGCGATCACGGGGGCGGGGCGGCCAGTGCCTCGCAGGACAATGACGGCTTCGCTGCCTACTCCACGGCACTGAGTGTGACGATAGCCATAGGCTGCTCGCTGTTGATCCTGAATGTGCTGATCTTCGCGGGAGTCTACTACCAAAGGGACAAGACCCGGCTGAGTGAGCCCAGGCCACAGACCAAGCTGAAGAGGCAGGAGAACGGACAGATGCCGAACAACATTTGCGGGGACCTGGAGACGCTGACTATCCACGCGAAGAGCGACCCGGCCACCATACTGTCGCACCACCATGCCATGCAGCACCACCAGCTGCCACCGCCGGAATTCGCCGACATACCCCACCGGGCGCCGCCGCCGCCGAAACACATGAAGTCCCTGCAGGATCCGGGGGGCGGGGGCTCGGTCAGCGGTGCGGTGGGCGTTTCCGGGGTGGTGCAAATGCCGCCGCCACACGCCCTCCAAGTGATGGGCAATCAATGCGGCACACTGACCAAAAAGAGCTGCATGAAGCAAACGCAGGCCCAGGCCCAGCAGCACTCGCCTGCCCAGCAGCAGCAACAGCAGCAGCAACATGTGGTCACCCATCAGCAACACTTGCAGAATCATCATAATCAAAGCATGACCACTGTGCTGACCACGGCCGGTGGATTGGTGGTGCCCACGCCACCCACTGTGCCGGTGATTGTGGCCACCACCACGCAGCACCAGCAGCAGCAACACCAGCAGCAGCAGCAACACCAGCAGCAACAGCAACAGCAGCAGCAACATCCACTGATGGACGAGCTGCGTGTGTGACATTAATTGACCGTGCGTTTTAAATGTGATCTCTAAACGCACCGCGTCCTTAGTCCCCAATCCCCTTCCCTATGCGTTTCAGCTGTCTCTCGATATAAACTACATGGGCCACGGGGCCAGTAAGTGTGTGTCGGGAGCCAAAAACTGTGTCTATCCAATACACACAGATGCTCCTCCTTGCTAAACTCTGTTGCTAGTTGGTTTTTATCAATTACACTGTAAATAGTCAACTAAGTGTAGTTTGTTGTCAAACTCATTATCAAGGAAAGCTATCTTGGAATTTTCAGTAAGGCTACAAAGTGTTCAACAAAATGTTTTAATTCTATATGTTTTTCGAATTAACAATTAGAACGACTTGTAGGACACTTTTATAATAATGATTTCTGATTTAGAAATGTATTTATTGCCAATTCTATAATTTATATAAAATTTATGGAAGTGCATATAATTATGTTGGTCATTAGACTTTAATTTCTGGACTATATTTTAAGTATTACAAATTACTCTTTTGTATACTTCTTAGATCAGACTTTTCATTCACCCTTTTTAAATATATTTCTGCATTTCGCAACTAATTAGGACCAATAAAACTATGCGATTCCAAGTTACGGACAAGTTTCCATCTCTTCCTTCTGTTGGCGTTAGTATAAAAACATTACGGTAGAATAAAATATAGGAAAAACTAAGAGAATTCTGAATGCGTAAAAACAAAAAAGAACATGAATGTTATTCTTCCAAAGACTGAATTATAATTGTGTATTGTGTGTAAATAAAACTAGTTGCAGAATTAAAAGTACTATGCTCCATGTACAACAAAAAACTCCCACATATATATTAAATTTCAAAGGAATAAATATGAGAATACAGTTTTTAGCCAAACAAAAAACCAAGAGAATTAGGAAGGAGTCCAAGAAAAATGGCAGCCATAAAATCAAATCATGTACAGGTGCAGGAGAGCTGTTCGTTTAAGTTTTGGCAGAAGATTTGTAAAAAAAAGTTGTACAACTACCCCAACAAAACAATAGAAGCAACTTAAACTCAAGCTAAAAATGAAACTAAACTTTGGTCAGACAGAGAACAAACAACACGAGAGCAAAATTAAATTAAACTGTTAATTGTAAGCATGCAGCTACTTTGTTATGTAACTAAATAAATATTTATATAGCTATTAAAATTAAATGCGTATATAAGCCCACACAAAATAAAAAACCAGTAAGCTCCTCTATATAGCTATACAAATTTCCAACTGCGAGAATAGTTAAAAATTCCATTAGGAGTTAAGCGGGGCAATTGAAATGCACAGTGGAAGCATACAAATAATCATAATTTTATTTTTTTGTATTCAGTTGTTTTTTTTTGTTCTGAATTACAACTATTTACAAACAATTGCCCAAAATTGTAATTAAAATGGAAATGATACGGGAGAAAAAAGAGGAAGGGAAAATTAAGCAATGGAACAGCTCATTAAAGTGAAACAGCGCGAAAATTGCAAACAATTTACAGCGCTTATTAAAAATACTTGTAAATTATATAAACACATTTAGCGGCAGTAAAAACCAAAGTGGGAAGAAAGCTGTAATAAAAAACAGAAACCATTTACAGCCCAATCGAGGATGTATAAGTCTATAGCTTCTGTATGCATATACATACATCTATAAAAGTAAAACTATATATTAATGTAATGGTGTAAACTTAGCATAATTAGCAAAATAATACAAAAAGTACATATAAATAATATATAGAGTGCTGCATAACTGGCAAAACCAAAACGATACAATTAAAACTAAAACTCATGAAAACTATTGCGTTAGAAAATGTGTAACGATTGTGCGAAAGGTCTTAGCATTAATAAATTCGGACTAAATGGAATATATTAAAAATCGGTAAAAAGTATAAAAATAAAAACCCAATGAAAGGAAAGAATAAAATTTGATTTAAAGGTTTATAGCCACAAAAACGGTGTGAAACAAGTTGCAGACACTTAAGATGAAATGAACATTTAAATAATAATAAAGTTGCAAAAATTATATGATCAAGTGGTTTTTATGGAACAGAGCAGGTAAGTAATTCAATTATTATAATTATAATTTTAAATTACTTATAAAAATCATCTCCAGTGTCCTTTCTTATTCTTTATAATGCTTAAATCAAAAACACAAGCTAATAACCAAACACAAACAAATTTCATCATATTTAAATAGATTTTGAATAGCCAATTTTAAATTAATACCATTTCATCTTTGTTTTTTCGTCCTGTTCAAAATTTACTTTTTCTTTAAGTTCCCAATGGAAACCAATTGCAGTGCTTAACCAAACGGAAGTGTAAAATAATGGAGGCATATTCACTTTAAGAGACCATTGGAGCGTTCAATATCTGCACACATGTGCGCCAACACATCCTTATTGAGATACAGATACAGATACTTCCCAGCATCTTTATGCGAAACAAATATGGCACTGGCACCCACACAGATAAACCCACACAACTGCAGTTGTTAACCAAATATTCGCAGAGCTGCAGCATCAAGGATAAAGGAAAAATACGGACATGCGGGGAAATAGTTGGGCTGTGCGGGGGCAGACCGAAGGATAATAATGGTTCTATTGATACCAAAATAGAATGCGCAAAGGCAAAGCTCGTTGGAGATAAGTTTCCTTAGCACAAAAAAGAGATGGATAAGAACAAGAAAATCCATTGAAAATAGATTTATTATGTAAATTTGGCAAGCGTAAGTGAGTTCGCTATTACTCCATCTGTGTCTCTTGCAGCTTAATTTATAAAATAGAATAACAGCGCTCCTCTTCTGCTCCCGAAAACTCACCCATATATGCTTAAGGCTATAATTGAATCAAAACAATTTCAAACTAGCTCCGCTCTCGCTTTTCTCCTCCGTTCGGCTTAAGATTTGACTGATTTTTATTACCAATGACGAAATCCAATTGAAAGTCACAAAACAATGGGGCAAAACAAGGAGAGTCTTGGCATCTAATCCCCTCCGAAAAAGTTTCATTTTCGTAGTTTAGCTTTTGGGATTGGGATACTTTTTGCATACGCCGTACGTGTTGTATTTCGTCCGTTTCACTTAAAATCAGCAACCAGGATGGAAAAGGCGTTTGCCTTTTGGGTGGGCGTTATTCAAGCTGTGCTTAATTTATTAGCACAAGTCGGGCGAAATTAAATAATAAAAGTCTTCCAAGTGGCTCTCCCCTGCTTTTCTCCCTATGTGTGAGGGAAAATTATCACTTTTAATGCTGCCAAAAAGGTCACGAGTCAAGGGGCGTGGCGGGCGGAGGTCGTTCGACCCTTTGATGGGCGTGAGGCCAAAAGCAAATGGCTGGCGAGCTGAACATCCGTCCTCCCCGCTCTGCCAAGTCCCGACAAGTTGATAATTTATGTTGCGAAATCTGTTGGAAATTGCTTTATACGCTAATAAAAGTATTTCCAACGGGGTACCAAACAACTTAATTTAAGGTGATACAGAGTTCCGGGGAAACTTAAGGGGCGAAAACTTAGAATTGAGATCTCAAGTGAAAATCAAGTAGTTAATAGCTCTTTAGATATTTAAAATACAATTGGGCACACATATTTAATGGCAGATTGAGAATACGAGTTTGCAGCTTGAGAGCTTCTGTGTCAGTTTATACTCCGTTTTTTTTAAATTACCTTTCTGATCTTCCGACTGACCAAATCTAGGCTAAGACCTTTGGAGTTAAAAGTTTTACTTTGGCCAGTTTTATAGCACATCAACGTTAATCCTAACCAAAATTGAGTTCGGAATTGCTGAACAAAAATCGGTCGGCGAACAAAAAAATTTGCACAATTTGCGGAAAGTTCGTTACTGTTTTTTCCCAGAAGCTGTTGGGAAAGTTTAAACGAAATCGAAGAAAAGTGGCCAAGCAAAAAATGTTATACACATTATAACAGTTTTCCGTTGGATAAACTTTATTTGGCTGGCAATTAGTTTGTATTATTTTTCAGTTTGCTTTGCCATTTATATTTGTTCTCTCTGCTCCGGTCGTAGAGTTGCATTTTTCAACTTTTAAAATATTTATACAGTATGCGTTTTTTCAGATTTCGCCGGCTAGGTTCGCTTTTTTTGGCAGCCAGGTGAAAACAGGATTCCGTGCTATACGCTTTTTGAATGCCACAGAAAGTTTTATTAGTTGTTTGACCAATATCTTTGCCCCTGCTTCCCGCTTTTGGATTTCGTTACTTTTTCCGTGCCACAAAAACCAGAAATAACAAAGTTTGGCCATTGTCTTTTTGTCATTGTTGAGTAAAAACTTTGCACTCTCCTTCAGCCCGGCAGATAAACTCGAATCCAATTGGCAACAGCTATGAATAACATTTCAGATGGGCCCTGAAACCGTTAAAGCCGCTAATTAGTCAGGCGAAGATCCGCTCAATTGGCTTAGGCGATTGTTTCCTCGAAACTTAATTGGATACACATGGAGGGGCTGCTCATCCATTCACACGAGATTATTTCGATAGACTCGTCAAATCTCATTTGCATGGCACAGGGAGGTTGGCAATAATATCGCTGGGTTACTTTCGGTCCACGGTTCATATCGCATCACACACTTATTCGATACAATCCCCAACTAACCCAGATTTCGCTTACACGTTCACATATATGGGAACCATAATCTATCCATTCAGCCAAATCAAATCGAATCACAAATGCAGCAATGAGAGGACGGAGGAGCCAGCTCTGAAGGAGCTTACATCCGATGCAGTGCACACTGGAATACGGAGAGTGCAAAATGAAGACTAGGTCAGCCCTCCATCCATCCATCTATCTATCTATCTATCGTATCACTAGCCCGCCCGATCCACCTCTACATCCACCCACTCGAGGGTCGTACTCGATGGCTGTCAATGATGGCTCCGGCTGCAGGGAGCGGAATCGGAGGGCACCAACTGCCCGACAAGTGTCGTATGTCGTCCTGTCTAATGTTAAGCTACTTTTCATGTATGCCCCAACATCCAGTCCCCGTCCTTTAGTTGTGGCAACTTCGAACTTGCGCACGAACGCACACAGCACGAAAACAAATACATCGGGGGAAGACTCGACCATAAGGTACCCGGTACCATGAATCAGCATCTCATAACTTGTAGTCATGTAGATCAATAAACATGATTAAAAACATCGATTACCTTACTTAACATGGAATCAGCCATTTTTAAATATTTCACAGCACCTTATATGGTATCTAAATATTTTCAATAGATGCGTACAACACTTGTTGGTACTTATTTCCCATTTTTTCCTTCATTAAGAGGTATGACAAACTCAAGGCACATACTAAATAAAGTAGAAGGGAAGACTCATTCTCCATCTGAGGTCTCTGAGCTTTCAACGCCTGTTAAGCATCGCAATTATTCATGTTTATGATGCGATGACACTGCCAACTGTTCACCTTTCTTCCCCTATCCAGTTTTCCCTTTACTTTATACTTTATATTAGCCCATGAATGACGGAAAACCAGGGGAAATGTAATGGGGGCCTTAGAAGGTGTTTCCAAGTTAGGTCACGACCATGGCATCAAATTGGTTAAGATTGAAAAATTATAAATTATCGAATGCAAATATCCGATCGGCATACCGAGTTCTTGGAATACCTGAAGGCAAGGGGTTGAGTTGGGTCCATGACTAAGGGGTTTAGATACTTCAGAGGATAGAGATAAGTCTCTTCGATTTTGGAGGTCCTTTGTACTCCTAATTAATATTACACCGTCGTGTTGGACATGTACATTGTGTGCCTACGTTCTCAACTCAACCACAAAGACCACCTTAAGATTTACAGTGCGTTCAATAATTGCAAGCAAATGTAAACCAAGAAATTTACGAAATATATATAGTTTGCAGCTATTTTAATCTTTCAAAAAGTTAGTTAAAAGGAAGATTTAAAAATATTTATCAAGTAAAGATGAGTCTATATTTGAGAAAATACATTAATTTTCTACAATATTTAAGTCATTTGTCAAATGTTTGGCTTATCACTAGTTGACCTAACAGTTCGAACCATAGTGTACAATTAAAACAAGGCCTCGGATAAGCAGATCCCACATTTCACCAGCGCCCACTTCATTCAACACCCCCAGCAAACTGTTCTAAACTTAATCGTGTGTTCTGCATAAGATTATGAACACGAAATTAAACCGGTAACAAGAAACTTCAATTAGAGGTAAACATTTTGATTAACACACAGGGAAAAGGGGGAAGGGCAAAGGGGCGGCAATGGATAAGTTTATCTGACCAAGTGCAGTTCAAGTTGGAAATCGCTCCAAGCTTGACGACAATAAAACATAAAAATTGCTTTTGGCCAAACGCAGCGTAACTTTGTCCAATCAATTTAAAAAATAAAGTAAAAGCTGAAAAAATAGCACGTTTAATGGAAAAAGTTTTTGGCGCCAAGGAAAATGCTGCTAATTTGATTGTCATTAGACGGCGAAGGCGAGAAACAAATTCATCCAACCTTCGCCATTGCCATAATGCCTACACTCAGGGAAAATATGGAGTATTCAGTAAACAGAAAATAACCATTTGCTTAACTACGATTGAGTTTATTTAATTATAGCAAAAATTATTTTATTCAAACAGAAATTTTCAGACAATATAGTAATCATACATAACCTATTAAAAAACTCCAATACTCCATTTATTCAGAGTTTAATATTTTTTTTAAGTGTTTATGTGTATGTGTGAATAGGCTATATGAAAGGTAATGCATATAATTGAATTTTTACACAACTAAAGAAGAGGCCTATTCGCCAAATGCCTTTGTTGCTAGAAAAAGCGCCGGCGAAAAGATGGCGATGCGATGGTGATGAAGACAGCGGAGAATGCCGTCGAAATTAAAGTGAAATTGAAAAAGTTTTATGAGCTTTTCCTCCATGCAGCGGGCCCCACAAAGAGAGCAGTCGGATGGCGGGAAAAGAAAGCAAAATATTACACAGCCGCCGACGACGCGTAAAGAAGACAAAGGGCCAAAACGAGAGGGAGTGCTTGGTAGTGGGAGTGAGA